TTTGGTAGTGTGTTTAAAATCTAAAAACGAAATATTAAAAAAGAATACGGAAATTAAATGACGTAATAACTAAACTTAACGAAAATGATTAAAAATGATAAAAACGGATATTCTAATGCTTAAATGAAAATGAACTAAAAAGGAAAGACAATATTGAACTAAAGCTTAAACGAAAATCGGTGTAAATCAATAAGGAAGAAAGCGTTGGGGTTCAGGGAAGTTTTCTCAGGGGTACGAACGATTCAAAACATTGCTAGAGAGGAAATTTTGTAAGATCTTAGCTTAAACTTTTCGAACTGGATTCAAGGACGTATGAATACGCCACTGTCGTGATCATAGACAACTATCTCTCTCAACCCTGACCAGTAGGTTTCCACTCTGGCTCTGGAAGAGAAGAGATGCATTATGTTTAAGACTCGTCCTAATTCACAAATCGCCCATAGGTAGGTTTCCACTCCTATGTTTGTTTTGCTCTCCCAAACTAGATCTGATACCTGATGAACACTTTCATGTCACCAAGCATCTGGATCAGATTGTAGTTCATGACGTTACTCTCATGCAGTAAAAACGAATTCATAAGAAAAAGTTCTAAGATTCGGCTCAAAAGCTCATGGAATCCTCATCGAACATATAAATCCCCATCGAAAATCCCTTAATCCCAACAATAAAACTACTCAGACATAATGAACGAAATCATAAACATAGTATTAATAAGTAGAATAGAAACCGAAATTGAAAAAGAAAGAACCAGGGTTCAAGAGAACAAATCTCTCTCTCCCTAAAAGCTAAAACTTAAAAGTATTCTAAAACAATAAGAAAGATAGATGATGATCGATTAGGGTTCCTAAGACATGTATTTATAGTGCTCAAGACCTCTCTGGACGTCACTTAGGGTTTCTCCAGATGAAGGAATCATTGTGGGCTTCAGAAATGGGCTTCTGGGCTCGGAGGTTGATGGTCGCGGTCAGGACAAGTGTGACCGCGGGGAACAAGTGGTTTGCCGCGGTCGGGATGCTCCTGACCGCGGGGAATGAGTGTTTTGCCGCGGGTGGAAGTGCTTGCCGGCTGGTTTACGGGACATCTTGCTCTTCGCGTATCTTTTGATTGAACCGTTGGATTGCCAAGCTGTAAAGTGCACTGGAAAGCTGATACTTCCATCTTTAAGGTCTCCAAATTTGAGCTGGATCAGACGGTGAGAAGGCCTTCAATCAGGGGTGAACTTCTGGCGGTTTGACTCTGAGCTGAAATCTGGTTTTCTATCCATTTTGTTAAGCTTTTCCCTAAGTTTCCTGAAAAGAGTCTTGGAACTACAAATACTAGAAAAACGTAATAAAAGTACTTAAAAGCAATTAAAAACATAGAAAAAGCATTTCAAAACGATCCATAAAAGTTGTCAAAATATGGTGTTATCAACTCCCTTAGACTTAAACCTTTGTTTGTCCTCAAACAAAGCAAAAGCCTAAACTGGTTAAGCGAAAACAAAAATAGGAAATGCACGAATCTCATAGACTTGAACTCCTAAACTAGGACCAAAGATAGTGCATCAATCCACAACTTAGTCTTGAAAATTCTCACCAATGCACAAGAGATACTAGTCCACTTTTTCCGTCATGCAAAACTTAAACAATTTAAATCTTGATTTCTGTCAACTAGCTCTCTACATTCATTAAGTTCAATAGTGAGTTCTCATTAAAAACATCATCCAGGGTAGACGGCGTTTGGCATTAAAGGGCTATTTAAGTGGTGGAGTTAAAGTGTTTAGGGTTACCTGAAGATCTGGAGGATGCAAGATAATATGCAAAACCGCAAGAGAGATAAGGACCTGTTGATGACCACAGTTTTCAGTCACTTCTTCTTGCCAAATGTTGTTGCATAATCCTTCCTCTTTTGTTGTAAACAGCTGTTCCTCAAACTTAGATTCTTTCCGGGAATCAGAAAACAATCTCCAAAACTCCATAAAATCAGACTTCAGTTGTCTTGGGACTTAGAATTCGACCTCTCTAGACTCTCTAAGGCTTTTATTTCATTTCTTTTCTTATTTTCGGATTTTTTTTTTTTTTTTTGAAAAGGAAATTCCTTTTAAAGAGAGAGAGACTAGAGGACGAGATTGTACCAAAATTTGAGATTTTTCTAAGGCAAACTTAGCTTCCTCTTGTGTTGGATCCTTCCGAGAAGTTTTCCGGCAAATCGCAGGTTTCTGTCCTTTGTGACTGAAAACTGCGTCGTTCCTCTTTCTCTCCAACGTTTTTGCAATTATCTTCATATAAGACAATATAAAACAAGAGTGCATGTGGTTTGAAAGAGGATTGGTTAAGGTGGGGAACTAGCTAAAGATGAACTAGCCATTCAGGATCAACAGAGAGTGGTAAAAGGATAAAGGAGTCCTGAATGTATGATTCGTTTCCCTGGTCTAATGCTTCAATGAGAAAATCAAGTCCAAATTAAGTCCAAATAAAACAGAGCTAGTGTATCCCTTCATCTAAATCGAAATCATTCAAATTCCTCTGGGGTACTTCGTTTCAAATGTGCTTAGCTACCGCCTAGTCTAGTCCTAAATCATGAATGAGCAAGTCACTAGGAACAGTCTAAAGCACACAGTCAACTATCATTGATTCGTGTTCACCATTCCCTTTTAAAACGTATTTTGTTTTGAAAACCGGTTTTGAAAAACTTTAAGAAAAATGCAAAAAGTGTAGATAATGCAAAACTCATGAAAGAAAGGTGATTAGAAAGGGATGAAATCCTCCCCCAGACTTAAATCACACTGTCCTCAGTGTGAAACAAGTCGAGATTGGATGAGAAAAATGCATAGATAATCGAATTGGTAAGGACAAAGAGAACTTACCTGGATCCGGGATGCTGGTGGAGATGAACCGGATTTATTCGAAGGGGTTTGGGAAGGTGATTAGGTGGTGATGAAGGTGGTGGAAGGTGATGAATGAGGTGGAGGGTGATTGGTGAGGTGAAATGAGGTGGAAGGGGTGGTTTGGGGTCGGGTTTGATGTCAACGACCAAGTCTCGCGGTCAGGGGCTGCACGACTGCGGCAAACAAGCACTTGGCCGCGGTCATATTCACGCGACCGCGGTCGATGAGTAGTTTCCCGCGGTCAGAACATCTGCAACCACGGGGGCTTATTTTGCGGCCTCTTCCTGCTTCTCCTTGGTTCCTGCTGGGCCGAGCAGTCAGGTACCATCCTTCTTTTTGTTTTTTTTTCTGGTTTTTTTTTTTTTTGATTTTTTGGCTTTTTTGTTTTATAAGAAACACCTGAAACTAAGAAAAAGAAAGAGATCAAATGTAAAGAAAGAAAAATCCTAAAGAAAACAATACCTAAATGGGTTGCCTCCCATTAAGCGCTTCTGTTTTAAGTCGTTTAGCTCGACTTTTGGTGTTGGACGTGACTTATTCCAATGAAGAAGACCTTGTCCTGAAACAAGTCTTTTTCGACATCTCCTTGCCTTGCTTAGCAGGTTCTTCATCACTCCAAAGCTCTTCTTCAAACTCTTCAGTTGCAGAATGTTTTCCTGCTTTGCTGTTGTATGGGACAGCTTCTGTGGAGACATCTTTGTCGATATTAGCAAATGAAATCCTCCGGTTTGGCCAGTCCATTATAGCTCCGGAAGTTGCTAGAAAAGACCATCCCAGAATCACTGGATATGTTGCATCTCTCGTCTCGACAATGTAGAAGTCGACAGGCACTATGCAATCTCCTATTCTCAAAGGAATTTCATGAGCTATTCCTTGAGGTGTTGCATTTGAATCATCAGCTAGGCTAATCTTTGCTCTAGTCCTGCGCAGGTGTCTAATACCAAGTCTCAAAGCAATTGCCTTGGACATCATGTTAAGACAAGCTCCAGAATCACATAGCACGTTTTTAAACATCTCTCCTCTAATAGAACAAGAGATAAGAAACTGACCTACACCTTCTATTTTATGAAGTGTTCGAACAGGTTTACCTTTTCTTGCATGCTTGAACAAGTCTTCTATCTCAGGGATTGATTCTTTGCTCTCACAGAAGTAGTGGCCTATCATGAAGTCCTTGCAAGCTTTGGCAAACGTGATTCCTTCAGGTAAATTTTGAACAACATCATTAAATTCATCGAGCTTTTCTTTGCTGATTCTGTTGGTGTAGTAGCACTCTTCTGGTCTTTGGAGATGGATTGAATAAACAGCAGCATCAGGGGATCTTCTGGGGAAAGTCAGACGTCTGGCCCTCCCAAAATAGGTTCTGATATCCTCCTTTGTCTCCTTGCTGTACCTAAAGAAAACTTGCAAACAACCAAGATGCCACATATCATCGAAACCTGTGTAAAGAGGGATCGATTTCACAAACTTGTTGAATTCAACGAGTGGCCGCGGGTGGAAGTGCTTGCCGGCTGGTTTACGGGACATCTTGCTCTTCGCGTATCTTTTGATTGAACCGTTGGATTGCCAAGATGTAAAGTGCACTGGAAAAGCTGATACTTCCATCTTTAAGGTCTCCAAATTTGAGCTGGATCAGACGGTGAGAAGGCCTTCAATCAGGGGTGAACTTCTGACGGTTTGACTCTGAGCTGAAATCTGGTTTTCTATCCATTTTTTTAAGCTTTTCCCTAAGTTTCCTGAAAAGAGTCTTGGAACTACAAATACTAGAAAAACGTAATAAAAGTACTTAAAAGCAATTAAAAACATAGAAAAAGCATTTCAAAACGATCCATAAAAGTGGTCAAAATACGGTGTTATCAGAAAGCTGGTTGATTCTTCTATAAGTTGTCCAATTTTGAGGGTGATCAGACGGTGAGAAGGTCTTCGTCTCTCCATGAGAGTTCTGACGATCTGCATTTATCCAAAAGAGTCTTTTCGTTCCATTTTGTGCCTCTTTATCCCAAATTACCTAAAAAGTCTTTTAAAATCCGGAAACATAGAAATCCTTTGAAAACCTTTGAAAATGGAGTAAAAACACCTGTAAAAGATATTAAAATGATCAATAAAAATGGTCAAAATCCGGTGTTATCAGCAGGCCATGGCAATCGGATCGAAAGGTTATTCATGATGGGTTTACTAACAAGTATTCCTTTGTTTTTAAAGGCAGGAAGACAACCCTCATACCTTTGACGCCACAAGAAGTCTACCAGGATCAAATGCAGCTAAAGCAAAAGACAAAGCCGCCTACTAAAGCATCTAACTTCTACCTGAGGGCTGGTGATGTCAAAAGATCTCTTAGTTCTAACCAACCGGTTCTTTTATTTGTGTTTAAGGAGGCTCTCACCAATATGACTAACCTCACACCGGTTTTGCCGAGTAAAATTCAAACTCTTTTGCAGGAATACAATGATGTCTTCCCTGAAGATAATCCTAAGGAGTTACCTCCTTTTAGAGGCATTGAACATCAGATTGATTTCATGCCTGGTGCTTCATTGCCTAATCGCCCTGATTATAGAACCAATCCGGTTGAGACAAAAGAGTTACAAAGACAAGTCGATGAACTAATGGAGAAAGGACACATAAGAGAAAGCATGAGTCCCTAAGAAGGATGGGAGCTGGCGAATGTGCGTAGATTGCAGAGCCATCAATAATATCACTGTAAAGTATCGTCACCCTATCCCTAGACTCGATGATATGCTAGATGAGTTGCATGGTTCTAACATATTCTCTAAAATTGACCTTAAAAGTGGATATCATCAGATTAGAATGAAAGAAGGAGATGAATGGAAAACTGCATTTAAGACTAAACATGGTTTATATGAGTGGCTTGTTATGCCATTTGGATTAACTAATGCACCTAGTACATTCATGAGATTGATGAATCATGTCCTTAGAGCATTCATAGGGGTCTTTGTAGTTGTCTATTTCGACGATATCCTTGTCTATAGCAAGAATCTAGATGAGCATGTAATGCATTTGAAAGCTGTTCTTGATAAGCTAAGAAAGGAAAAACTATATGCCAATCTAAAGAAATGCACCTTTGGAACAGATAACCTTGTCTTTTTAGGTTTTGTTGTGAGTGCAGATGGCGTTAAGGTCGATGAAGAGAAAATCAAGGCCATCAAAGACTGGCCAACCCTTAAGACTGTCGGTGAAGTTAGGAGTTTCCATGGCCTGGCCGGGTTCTATAGAAGATTCGTCAGAGATTTTAGCACTCTAGCCACCCCTCTTACAGAAGTTATCAAAAAGGATGTGGGATTCCAATGGGGAGAAGCTCAAGAAGCCGCGTTCAAAGCTTTGAAGCATAAGCTTACTAATGCACCTCTATTATCTTTACCTGATTTCCTTAAAACTTTTGAAATAGAATGTGATGCTTCAGGTATAGGAATTGGAGCTGTGCTAATGCAGGACAAAAGACCGATTGCTTTCTTTAGTGAAAAACTTGGAGGAGCCACTCTCAATTACCCAACCTACGACAAAGAGCTATACGCTTTGGTCAGGGCTTTACAAACATGGCAACATTACTTATGGCCCAAGGAGTTTGTCATTCATACCGATCATGAATCTCTCAAGCATCTTAAAGAACAACAAAAGCTTAATAAAAGGCACGCGAGGTGGGGTCGAGTTCATTGAGACATTTCCATATGTCATCAAATACAAGAAAGTGTAAGGACAATGTAG